GATTATTTAAAACAAGCGGGAACGTTTTAACGGTTAGTATAGATTTTTCAGAGTTGAAATATTTTCCCGCAGTAAAAAGTATCTTATATGTTGACTCGGATAACTAGCTATCATCATACTAAATTTCACCAAAATCTGTCCAGTGGTTTTCACGCGACGCGTTCCCAGACAGACAGAAAGACAGACAAAATGCTAAAAAATATAGATTCGGCTTCTGTATCGATAATAATGACTATTTCAATAAGATTTTCCAAAAAATATTTAATGCACAGATTCGAATCAGTTAGAATTGTATTAGGTATATGTATAGTTTATTATATGTATAGATGTCAAATATTCGCGTAAATCTAAGAAAAAAATATTAAGTTCATTAAGAATATATAATTTCTAGAATATGACTTTGATTTTAATGCCACTTAGGATTATGAACTACTATCTAATACTACACATTAGCATGAATGGAAGGTAAAGGCGAGAATGTCTTAATTATAATATTTATTTTTACATGCAAGCTTAACCTGTAAGAGTTATGATTTTATGAATTAATTGATATAATTATCAATTGATACGACATGATTCTAGATTATTGAATGATAAATACAATAATTTGTTCTATATAGAGATAAACTTATATCAACTAGCAACTCACCCTCGCTTCGGATACGTTCCTAGGTACGTTTTAACGATTAGTATGGAATAGATAGACTATATACATATAAATATATAATTACATAGATATGTTGAGTTTTATGTCTCTTACTTGAGAAATGATTGATTCCCCATACAAACTTTTATCTACCTCTTCAACCTCTTAAGTAATGATTTCTGGGATAAAACTACCCTTTGTCCTTTCCAGGGTCTCAAGCTATCTTCATACCAAAATTCATCTAATTCAGTTCAGTATTTCCAGAGATTCTGAGAAAACTTAGAAATTTTATCTATTTATAATATGAATATAGTGAAGACTAACAGTCTTAAGTTCTTGAGCAAAAAAGAAATGCGCCTTTATATAATAAGAAAAAATGATCCTAGCAAAAACGTCCTAAGATCTAACATAATTTAGTTGTCATGGCGTAAAGAAAATGTTGTAAATATACTCCATAGTAACAAAACTCACAAAGTAATTCATCTTGTTTTGTTTCTTAGAGACAGCATCTTAAGGAATAAATTAATCTTAATGAAGAAGAGATTTGGTTTAAATAATGAAGATAAAAGAAAATTCAGATGTTCTTATATAACCTTGAAGTCCAATTAAGTATATTTTACTAATTATTAAAAAAAATACTACTAAAGTGGCTAGCATGTAAGGCAAGTCAAAAGGTCCTACGTTTGATTCTCGGTTCGAACCAATAGTTATTGGGGTTTTCTAAGTTATCAGGAAATATGTTGCACTTCGTTCATTCTCTTCTTAAAGTTGATCGAAGCTTAACACAGACTAATTTTAATCGATGCATACAGACATACAAGCGGAGCTGGAGGGAAAACTAGTTTTGTTAATTATTTTATAAAAATATTTTCTATTTGCATTGCATACAGTAGTTTGAGTAGTTACTAATACTTCCACTATAAGATAATATATTTTGTATTTATTTGTTGGGTTTGGAAATACCTTATTGTTGATAAATTCAAAGTCATTTAAAAAAGTGTGGTTTTTAATGATATTGCTAAAAATTTTTAAACCTTCGTGAATTCATGGGACATTACAAACCATATTTCACATTTACTAGGAAAAGGGCTAAGCTTCATTTTGAACTATACCAAACTGTCAATTAGGACGTTCTAAGATTAAAATCTGTTTGGAAGTTCGGTTTTCAAATAACCCGACGAGATTTATTGCTTTAAATATCACACTAATATTTTAAATGCGAAAGTTATTGGAGTGTATATGTGTTTGTTACTCCTTAATGCTGTAATAACTTGATTGATAGAAATTCATGCTTATAATAAGAAAATTTAGACAAGATGCTACTTTACAACTATGAAGAATATACATTTTGAAAATTGTATTATTGAAGTAACAATTTTCATTGTTATAATATACAGTTATAATATACTAATCCCATTTTTTTTTTATTTCTACATATTATTCAAATATTGTAGAATAACATCTTCCCTTAGATTATCTCTATACTCGTACATATAATAAAATTCTAATCGAGTCGAATCTGTACATTGAATATTTTTCGGAAAATCTTATTGAAGTACCTAGTCATTATTATGAATACAGAGGCCTAATCTATTTTGAATCGGTTTTAGAATTTTTGTATATCTGTTTGTCATCACGAGAAAACCACTGGACATACATATTTTGATGAAACTTGGTATGATAATAGCTAGTCATCCGGGTGAACACAAAGGATACTTTTTACTGTGGACAAATATTTGATATTATAGATAGGCTTCTTTTTATCAACTTAGTTATCTATCACATGAGCGGAGTCGCTTTTATTATGTATACGATTCTAACTACTTCTTGTAACTAACCAACGACCCTTTTACCAGGAAAAGAAACTTTGCATAAAACTATTTTAAATTGCCAATTAGGACGATTAGATTTTAGATCAAAATCTCGTTATGAACGACCCGCGATTTATAATGCGGTATAACATCGAATAGGTAAATTTATGAGGACTTAATCATTAGCTTTTACTTGTGGTTTCACATTTACTTATACCATTTAGTTTCTCTACTCTCTCTCTTTCTCTCTCTCTCTCTCTCACAAACACACACTCTCTCCTTTTCTCTTTTTCTCCTCTATCCATCTATCTACTTTACTAAAAACATGACTGTATAGAAATGCACATCACCTACCTACAAGTAACTCTTATTTACTTTATATTTAAAAGTGTTTATAAAAATGACGCTAAGTTAAGTAAAACTTATTTTTAGGACAATAAAATTGTAGGAATATTTAGAAAGAAAACAGACTTTAAATACAGCTTTGATAAGATGTCGTTCTACCATCATTTGCACTATTAAATAGACTAAAAATTGTATGAGAATAACATTTTTAAGCATTTTGTCAAATCTAATATATTTAAACGAGCAATTCTTGTATATATAAATATATAATCTGAATCTCGGAAACGGCTCCAACGATTTTAATGAAATTTAATACACGGGGGTTTCGGGGGCGATAGATCGATCTAGATTAGTCTTATGTCTGGGAAAACGTGTGTTTTCGAATTTTCATGCACTTTTCTTTCACATTATTCCACGAAAGAAAATATGGTCGATAATTACGCACGCTTGGGCATAAGCGTCATGGTCAAGCGACCAAGGCGCAAGATTGACAATAATAGGTATCCGGGTTCGAATCCTGATCGGGTATAAAGTTTTTACTTTTGTTTTTTTTTTAATATTTATTCAAGTTTAAAGTTTAAAAAAAATGTACTTTAAGCCAAAAACTCCGAACGAAGCTCGGTAGCTTAGGTACTAGTCATAATATGGTATTCTGGCATTTAGTTTTAATTTTACTAGCGTAAAGCTAACCGCATATCATCTTGTGTAAGCACGAAGCTTAAAATAGTTTTGTATATTTTTCCATCATCCTTTTTCTGCTCACTCACTTGGAAGCGGCTGATACAATTAAAGGTTATGAATTTAGTATCAAAACTATAAACAAGATTAAAATTATAACTTAAAAGTACTAAATATAAGTCAGAAAAGGGTGTTTTGCACATATATATCTAACTGTCAATTAAAAAGCTCTCTTGATAAAAATCTCTTTGAAATAAAACGGTTCGATATTATTATGCGGGACCTTTAGATTTATGAATGTATATAACTCTGCGGCTCTTCTTAAGAAGTAAGGTTCTACAGGAAACATAAGTTTGTATCCAGTTTATTGACGATATTCATGTATCGATAAAAAGAAAAAAGTTTGGGCCTACCTCGAGTTACCACTTTTTTACATTGAATACGCCTTTTAGTTAAAAGAAATAAATATAAAATGACGTATCTGTGGCTTCGTTGTTCCTTTTTATTTAAATCTATAAAAGTAAATAAAATTGAAGTGTCTGTTTGTAATATCAAAATAACAGAATTTTACTAAATGCATATGAAAATATACACATAAATTATAAGAAAAAAAAAACAATTTTTAAAGTGTTTGTTTTTGTCTGTCTCTTTGTTCTGGCTAATATCAAAAATGGCTGGACCAATTGTGGCAGGACTTTCTCTGGCAGATAGCTGATGTTTAAGTTATATTTAAGTAAGATTTAAGGAGTAACTTAGGTTACTTTTATTTTAGAAAGAGAATTAGGGTTCCGCGCAAAACAATTAAAAGCTATGAAATTGTGAACAAAATTGTATCTAGGGACGCACTAGAGCGAAGCTAAATCGCTAGTACTACACATAAAAGTACATATAAAAGTTTTTTATAGCTAAATCTATTTTTCGTCAATGAAGTAATAAATAAAAGACCTTTAAGAATGTTTACAGTAACGAAATTAAGCTTCCATAGCTTACTTTTAGACCCATTTCATATATAATTTCATCAGTCATAATGTGTACGAAATTTATTTTTTCTTTTTATACATAAATAAATCATGTATTCAGTCCTTTTTTTAACGTCTCACTGCTGAGCACTGGCCTATCTTTAATAAGAGGGGGATCAAGTCATAGTCCACCACGCTGGCCAAGTGCAGGCGGACTTCACATGCCTTTAGAAAACTTGTTAAATTCTCTCAGAGATGCAGTTTTGCTCACGATGTTTTCTTTCACCGTAAGACAAGTGGTAATCATGTTGGAAATAAAACATAGTACTATAGTTAACGAAAACTCATAAAGTTAATTTAACAAATACTCATATTAGGTTATGTAATAATGTAGTGAAATGAAATAGTATATATATACATAATATACATATAGCGAGAGTTGAACCCATGACCTCGAACTTAGAAGAGAACTTTAGAGAATCGCAACAATCTGAATATAAACAAAATATTCAACAAATCAAAAAATATACACTTTAAAATTTCAATAATCGAGCTACTCACGATTGACATCTATCGACAAGGTCTCAGAGAGCGGTGCTATCGAGGGATCCGTTACTGCCTGTAACAAAACAAAAGTTTCAAAGGAAACTGTCTCAAAAGAAATTAATCTGAAAAGAATAATTTTTAAAAGAAAACTGGTGGTTTTGTCAGCTTTTATTGATCGTTTATTTTTCATTCTGTGATGTTGCTGATCTTTTCGTCTACGAGTTTTATGCATTTGGTCGATAGTTCGATGCCGTGCTGGTTATATCCATACTAATATTATAAATGTGAAAGTTTGTTTGTTTGTTTGTCCTTTTTTTACGTCGAAACGGAGTGACGGATTGACGTGAATTTTTTTGTGGAGATAGTTGGAAGGCTGGAGAGTGACATACACTTTTTATTGCGGGAGATAATCTAATTCCCACAGGAATACACGTTATAATACAACCCAAAAGTTATTTATGATCAGAATTACTTGGAAACTTGGTAGTAATGCTCTTCAATATAATTAATATTTTTGCTAATATTTACATAAATCTCACTAAATTATAAACATGAAAGTAGTAAGTGTGCTTGTGCGATTGTGGCTTCTTCACGCTGTCAACCACTAAAGACCTATCCTTACGATTCTAAAAAAATATTTATGACGCGAAATAAAAAATCATAGCAACTTTTATGCGGTTCCTCGTCGGAGAGAAGTAATACTAGTAGAAAATAATAATTTCTTAGATTTACGCTAATATTGGACATTTTCAATAAAACTATCTTTTCGGATTTTTTTGCAAATTTTCTCCCACGACTATGATTGCTGTAAAGCACTCGAAAGTCGGAAACCAAAAATCAAAATTAATTCGCGAAATAATCCGAAAAGATATTTTTATTTAAATCTAAGAAAGTATCATGAAAAAAATTTTTTTTAATAATAAATTCAAAATAAAAATGGAAAAGTGTTTGAAATGTTTTAATGTTAGAAAAATCAACTACAAATTCCTTAAAGATAAATTTATAGTACAATTTTATTTTGAGACCATTTCAAATTTTGATTTAGCCCACTTTTCCATTGACATGCCGAGATGATCAATTAAAATAAACATTATGCATCTTATTGTAGTCTTAATTCTTGCTTTCGAGATATTTGAACTTCAGTTCTATATAATATGTAAACCTACCTTATAAAAAGTTAAACTAACCTGGCATGTTACATCAACTCCTAGGTCCGCACGTTGCAATGTAAAGGAAACAGCTGCCCGCGCTTCAGAGTTAGCAAGCAGGGCGTGAGATTTCCACCAAGACACGCGAGCTGGTGGACGACCTAAAAGAAAGTTATTTATAAATTATTATGTATTTTAAATAAAACTTTTTTTCGGATTCTTCACGGTTTATTTTTATTTTTCGTTATAATAATCTGCTAAATCCGCGAAAAAATCCGAAAATATAGTTTTATAAGATGAATATTTGCGTAAATCTAAGAAATTATTATATGCTACACTTTAGACAACTTAGGGATAAGTAGTAAAACTTAGGCAAGCTAAAGATAACTAACAGAAATTGCTCATTATTAAATACGTAAATAGGTTCTGTCGGTTGGCAATTTATTTAGGGAAACTTAATTAGAAGCGAAACTCTGATAATGGTATATTCAATGCCTTACCGTAAGCTTCATTCTATAAGCGTAATTTTACGTTAATTTTATCATAAACTGTTTATGTGCGTGTGAACATTAAAAATGAGATGATTATAAGATTAATTTTAGGCTATGTTTAGGCACAGATCATATAATAATAAACTAGTAGTTTAGGTATCTAAGGTTAAATTCTGATTCTGTCACAGAATAATAACTATTTGGCTAGTAGGAACATATATTATAGCACGAGTTCAGTGTCTTACTGTCTTTATTAGTTCAAGTAGCTGACAGTTTATAAAATAGCTCAACTGGCACGTATTGAAGCCATTAATTTTTTTGGTGATTGACTGATGTATCAACGCACAGGCCAAACCCTTAAGGCTAAAAATTTGAAATTTCGCACATGTATTCCTCATATCGAAGGCATCTACTAAGGAAGGATTTTTTAAAATTCAACCCCCAAGGGGGTGAAATACGGGTTAAAAGTTTGTATGAAACTTTTTATTCCTTGGACATATTTGCATAAAATTTCGATAAATTGAGTACGGCAAAAATAATGAAATACTTATTTCAACGTTTTTCAAAATTCAACTCCTAAGAGGGTAAAATAGGGGATGAAAGTTTGTATTAATCCTGCCTTTTCTACAGTTTTTTTGCAGTTTTAGCGCAAGCGAAGCCGCAGGTTCTGCTAGTTATAATATATTATAGATTTGGTGTAAAATTAGAACCAAGGTGTTTCTTATTTCTTTACTGGAACCATACCTTTTTCCTTTTTGTATTAATTATAATGTTATGAACAGTGCAATGAAATTAATTCGTGCAAAAAAAAACGATCAGCGCCACCTTACGGCAAATTTTATTATACTTATATTCGTCTACTCATAGGTCATATTCAATCTATGTACTTATCCTAGTAGTTTCAGTGTAGAAGAGTAATAAACAAACATACATACACATACATACATACACATACAAACATTCAAGCATTTATTATAGTAGTATGACGTAATTATACAACAAACTTACGCCAAATCTAATTAAATATTATTAATTATTATAGTTTTCAGAATATCGATTAAACAACATCAACAATAATAAATTATGATACCAATTCTTAAACAACAAATTACGGACCACAATTCCAACTGGGAACCACATAAATGAGTCCCTAAAACCATGTAGGAGGGGAAAATAAAAGAATAAACGAAACAGGAAATGAGCTACGAATAGAGCTATAAAGAGTGTAAAACAAAAGGGCGCTGCGCTTCAAAATACTGACATGAAAATCATAGGCGGGTACGTAACAATGAAGAGGGACTCAAAATTTGAGAGGTTGGTTTAAGTTTTAAAGCGTCGTTTTTAATAAGTATTTTTAGTATCGTTATGTAAAAATAGTGCAGTTAAAATGTTATGATTAATTATTATGTGTACATTGTGGATTGACGATATTTTTTTAGCAACGGTTAAAGGGAAAATATAACCAAACTGTTCACTTATTATACTACTTTATGTTTTCGATTTATATGTAACTAGAATACCTAACTCGTATGTCTTTAGCAAGAAAAATATAAGACATTCATTTATAAGCTTACGATGGCTTTTACGCTTTGTATGTATATTTTTTATTAACTGTTATTTGGATGAAATTCAGTATCCGTATTTTACAAGTGACGAGTGAACAGTGTGGCCTGGAGTAATACATGGGCTATTTTCAGGCATTTCTATCCGAGCGCAAACAAAGTAAGTCGCTAGTATTATATACATGCAGCGCCAAAATCACACACACACACAGAGACACACACACACACGCACGCACGCACGCACGCACGCACGCACGCACGCACGCAATACGCACGCACGCACGCACGAACGCACACACACACACACGCACGCACGCACGCACGCACGCACGCACGCACGCACCATACAGGCGCGCGTGCACACACATACACACTCGCACGCACGCACGCACACACACACACACGCAGTAATCCAATTAATCTGATCCGATTTAGATTTTAACCCCATATTAAAAGTCAGTAAAACCAACGGTTTCCGCTGCCTCTTATTACTAGTACGAGGGACAAAAGAGAACATTTCCCTAAAACAACCCTTGAAGTTCAGGAAACAAAGGTGCATGATATTCGATAAGGGTTAAAACTCTCAGCCAACGTGGTGCAGCTTAATTAACAGGGCCAATTGTTCTAACAGGCGTGCTATTGAAGGTATTATGTGCTTTGTTATGATTATTCTCTAATTTTTAGTACCGCTTACTCGAATATTGAGGTTTGATTTTCGTTTAGACCCAATATTGGTATTCCAAGTTTATTTTATTTTTTTTCTAACACGTAAACCAGCTCAGACCAAATTTCATCATAAATCTGTCGAGTGGATTCGATAATAATGTCTATTGCAATAAGATTTTCCAAAAAATATTTAATGCAGATTCGGCTTAGTTACAATTTTATATATAATATGTATAGATAAAGTGTGATATTTTATAATGAAGGCTTAAGAGATGTGTGTGAATATTATACCTAAATGCAAAAGGCGACTTAGGACGCACCCGAGCAAAGCGAGGATGAGCCACTAGTATCCTATGTATCTAAACTCATGTTACGTTTGTGCCTTATTTACATATATATAGTTTCGTATATAACTTTGTCGATCCAGTCAGATATTCAGGCTTATACGGTATACCAATGATACACTCAGCGTCAATCAATTCAAAAACCTTTCATCGATTTGAGCCTGTCTTAAAGGATTGGTGGTGTAGATTTAGACTAAAATGGATAGAACAGCTATGAATAATAACAAAGAAATAATATTTTGAGATGATATTCTTATCATCAATTTTTACCGACTTCAGAAAAGGGGAAATACTGAAAGTAATATTTGAGTGAATATATACTTAGTTACTTGTAAGATAATTTTGAAGTCAGCATACCTTTTTATTTTAGAACGTTTTATTATTTGGATTAATAATTAATATTTCTATAATTGTTTTTATCTCATCTCGACTAATCTCGTCTAAACTTCGGATATTTCTTTTGACTGGTTCAAATTTTGTTTTATTGATAACATACTTAGGTGTAATAACTACTTCATTATCATCATCATCATCATATTCCGCCTGCTTTCGTCTACTGCTGAACATAGGCCTCTCCTATGGCACGCCACTGAGCCTTATGTCCTTCCCAGGATCTCAAACTATCTTCTTACCAAATTTCATCTAAATCGGTAACGTCACAACGTCACAAACTCACAAACTTTACTTCTTTATAATATTAGTATAGATGTATGTATTCACCGTTTGGCAACCGATTAGCGTTACCTTTTAGTAAATCTAGCTCATAACTGCGTAGTAAATTTCATCCAAATCTGTTCAGCAATTTTAGCGTGAAGGAAGAACAAAAACATATATAATATTTTCCCTTTATCATTGCGAGTAATATTTGTATTAAAATACAACCTACTTATAATAATTATTAAACGCCCCAGTTAAATAAAATCGCCATTGACATAATTTGCAAATCTAAACCACTCCAGATTGAATATTGAATGAAATCAATATCAGAAATGTTTATTCGCACTGCGATAATTAGAGTTTGAAATCCCATTTAGTCTATCGTTAGGCATTAATACTGTAGTTTCACTTACTGACCTAATATCATGATAGCTTATATTCATGTATATATGGTTTTTATGCTGTCCATATTTTTGTTTTGGTTTTCATGTAAGTGGTTTATGTTTGTATGTATGTATGTATGTATGTATGTATGTTCGAGTATGTAAGAGTCAACCTAATTTTGGTAGAAAATTTAACTATTAAGTTATTTTTCTGCTAAATAAATATACAAGTAAATATTTTATAAATGTAAGGTATTTTGGTGCCATTTTACTATTTCTTTAAAATAATTGTTTAATATGTTTTGATGGTTAGTATGAATAATAATATATATATTATTATTCCATACTAACTACATTCCATACTAATTATATAATCTATAAAGATTATAGCCTGTAGCCTTCCCCAATAAACGGGCTATTGGGATACATGAGTGTAAAAAGAATTTTTCAAAACGGATAAGTAGTTCCTGAGATTAGCGCGTTGTAACAAACAAACTCTGCCTCTTTATAATATTAGTATAGATTTATGAGTAGATACTGTCTATTACAACTATATAATAATTTTGGAGACCATGATAGCATAAAGCATTCAAAACGTCGGGAAACAAAAATGAGAGAAACGAAAACGGAATAATGTTTTTTTCTCTAAAGGGAAATTCCTTGTACGATCGAATAAATCTAGTTATTTTGTGAACGCGACTTAATACGAAGAGATTTTTTTAAGGAGAATAAAAAATTAAAAAAAATAAAATCGACTTCCCGGCATTATTAAATAAAACTATCTTTTCGGATTATTTCGCGGATTTATTTTGATTTTTGGTTGGACGTTTCGAATGCTTTACAGCATCCATGGTCACGGGAGAGACTGAGGTGTTACATGTCTTAAAGATATAGTTGTTACAGACAGCCTACCCACAATCAACAAAATGAAAATTGCACCAATTACATTATAATATTTTAACTTTAAACATTTTCTTCTTCGAAACGACTTCCCGGCACTAAAATGTACAAAATAACTAAACGGGGATTTTCATTTAGAATAGATACCTAATCAGATATTTTCGAATTTGGAGCCAGCCGATACATAACAAATCTAATAATAAGTATATATCTATACGTATAAAAACTTTTTTTTTAAATATAAACCGACTTCCAGGCACTAAAATGTAAAAAATAACTAAACGGACAAATATCTAATAATCATCTTGGAAATGATTTACACACAAATATATCAGAGGTGTGAGACCCGGTTTGAACCCCCTTCACTCGGTTTCCTAAGCGTGTTCGCTTACCACTGGACTACCACTGCCTTAGGTACAGTTAATAATCTCTTAATTCTTGTTTTCTCCATTTTACGTGACATTGGCGAAGTAATCTGAACTAAAATGGCACGTTGTGGAGCCATTAACAAGGAAATTGAATTAAGGGAACCCGGACTGAAATTGTCATTTTATATGAAAATTCTATATTTGGCATATGCTCTACCATAATGTCTATAAAGATATATTCTGGTTACACATAACCCAATTATGCAGGCAGAGCCGAAGGCAACACTACGTCTTAGTGCTTATTTGTTAAACTGTCAATACTTGTTGTACTTTACAGTAGAGAGTATTTCTCCTTTATTTTAAAAAGAAAATCAGATCAATAATTCTGTATTTAAAACTCTCTAGGAAAACATGTAGGTAAGAAGTACGCATCGAACTCATATCCTAACAATATATATAATATTCTTTATAGCATTTTAAAGGTAATACAGAAAAAAAACCATAAACTTAGTTAACAAAAGTGGGCTTAGCTATGAAATAGATCTCTTCCAGTCAACCCGTGGATATGGAAAATGTGCGAGCAATATAATGCAAGAAATAAATATACAAGAAATCAACATAATATAGATCCAAACAAACACTGTACCAGGGATGATTAAAAAGTTATGATTACTTAATTCAAACATCCCCTTTCAAACACTCACCTCCAACTGCTACGCAAGTTAGATTGACTTCAGTTCCCTCATCGTACGGCCCGAGTACTCCTCCTTTGATCTCTTCACCAGATTGATCCAGAATTAGGAGACGTTCCGGCGGTACTGTTGAAGTATCATTTTAGTATTTTAAGTTAAAAGGGATTTAGTATTTTAAATATTGTCTTTTAATTATTTAATGTACTGGATATTGGTAATTTACAAGTAAATAAAATTTTATTATTGAATATTATTTTCAATGCTAGTAGGAAACTTGTGTGAAACTGTGATTTTGTAAACAAGACTGATAAGTGGCCAGAAATCATTTAATTATATTCATTTCAAAATAACGACAATTAATATTATAAAGTTAAAAGAAAAAAAATAACTACAATTTGTGTTCATTTTTTTATAATTAATATTACAAGAAGCAAAAATTATTACAATAATTTTAAAATAATATACTAACTAAGAACAGTGAGATTCAGTCGAGTATTCTTGGTAGGAGACCTGATGAAGTCCACTCTACATCTGTACTGGCCGCTGTCTTCGGGCCTAAAACAAATATTACATGTAAGAAAATGTAAGTGGATTTTATAAATATTTAACTTATAAGTGTAATTTGTAAATACTTAAATCTAATAAAAAAAAACTTAAAAAAACTGCGGTCATCAAACGTATTAAAGTGGCACAATATCGATGATTTTGTTTATTGAAGTATCCGAATGGCAATACAATATGTGATGCTATATCACAGTAAGTATTATCATTCGGAGTACAAATACTAACAAAAATTTTAATTTATTAAAATTTACTCCCTAAATTTGATCGCAAGTCTCAAAATACAGAACAATTCTAAGTAATAAGTGAAACTTAGTTATGAGTTTGACGACACATTTGGCTCAGTTTGTAGTGACCCTACCGCTGTACCAGCGGGTTCGAGTCCCGCTGGGGGCATTCATTTGTGTGATGAGCACGAATGTTTTTACTCCAGTCATGGGTGTAACAATATTTATAATATGTATGTATTTAAAATTACATATGTGTAGTATATCAACTATCCGGTATCCATAACACAAGCCTCGTAGCTTACCATGGAAATAGATGGTGCTGTGTGTTAATGTTCCAACATATTATTATTATTATTATTATAAGTAAAACTAATAAAAACGCGTAAAATTTTTATGAATGATGTTAAATTAAGTAATCATTAATCTCGGTGATTTAATATTGAAAAAGCGTATTTCGTGGGCTCCAATTCGATACAAATCAAATATTTGCTTCGTCCTTTACGAGTGGCAAAAATCAATTAAGCTCTAACTATTAATTATCATTATCTATACCCAGTACTATATAGCCTTTATACTTCTTTCTATTTATTTAACACTATTGTTTTAAAGGGTAAAATATAAAATATTTCTATTTAAGTTTTAACAATATAAACTAGTTTGATTTGAAAGAGTTTGAATATTTATCATTTTGTTTATTAATGTTATTTATCATTTATTCAAAGTTTTATTATTAAATCATTATTATTTTAAACTAAATAAGTACACCGATAAAATTAAAATAATATAATCTATTTATTCCACCATCATAAATGGCTTTTTGCTTAAAAATAGAAAACCTCTTATATATCTACTACCATTGCCCGCGGCTGCGCCCGCGTTTAGATGGCCAAAAACCAAATTCTTAGGTTTTACATATAAGTATACTCTTAAATAGCAGTTTTTGTATTTTTTCTCAAAAATGAAATATTTTTCTGCGGTAAAAAGTATCCTATATGTTGACCCGGATAATCAGCTATCACCATACCAAATTTCATCAAAATCCCTCCGGTAGTTTTTTTGTGATGCGTTAACAGGTAGACAGACAGACAGACAAAAATTCTAAAAACTATAGATTCGACCTCTGTATCAATAATAATATCTATTTCAATTAGATTTTCCACAAAATATTTAATGTACAGATTAGACTTAGTTACAATTTTATTATATGTATAGATAAGAACCTTAACAAACACTTTTTTAAATGGGTGAATTAGTGAAAAATAAAAAAATAAATCTTTTTTTTTTGCGTACTAAATTTAAAGAAAACTACACAGCTTATAAATAACGGTACTATATTTATATCAGAGAAAGAAATAATAAGTCATTCATAACGTTTGTATGGCTATAACACTAGGGGATCCCACGTCTAGTCAAAATTAAAACAAATATGCAATGTCAACTCTTGTTTTAAACGATATCACGTTTCGTGTCCCACTTTATGTAACGCAAACAAAAAACGTACCAGATTTTTTTTGAATTGTCGAGGGCTTATTATTATTAAGGCTTAGTACAGAATACTGATTACAAACACTCATATGTATATGAGAATATTTTTAATCTCGATATGGTATATTGTCTTTATTTTATGGAAATAGTAATTATAATAATGCTTTTTTATTTTTTTAGTAAAATATCACAATATGGTGGTTTGATGAAAAAAATATAAGGTATGCGATATATAAATATATATAAAGGTTATTACTTATTATTATTAATTGTTGATTTAAAAAAAATCGATATGATTATGTATGTTCCCTGTGGACTCCAAAACAGTGGGAGCGATTTTGATTAAATTTTCAGGCATCTTTAGGTTAGCCTAACTTGTGATCCTGTGAAGTTTGGTAGCTATCCGAAGTTATACGATGGGTAATTTTTTGCCTGATCCGGGAACTGACTCCTGGAACCGATCTACAGTAAGACCACTATACCAACAAGTCAGTCGACTAAAGATAAATATAGGCAGAAAATAACAAATTACCTTAGTTTTGTCAGTAGTAAAACTGCAGGTGAGGTGTTAGAACGAAATGTCGCTCGTGAGGCTAGAGTCGATGGGTCCGACCAGTGTGACGTCACGCCATCTCTTGTGTCGAAACTGTTAACAAAATTCATAATTACACAATGAGCATAATTTAAAAAAAACTAAAAAAAAAACGTGAACTGTAAAAAGTGTACTAAAAAGATAGAACGAGTATGTACAAGTTTTATATTAGATGCGAGTCTTTCTACCTATATAGTATACACATACATACATACAGGTCAAACACATATCTTAGGCTTCGTCGCAGTCGGGTAATAGAATATAATATGTATAAAAAATAGGTAATTATAGCTGTAACTTTTGTGTTTTGAGTTTTTTGGTTATAATTGTACTAGTATTACAAACTATTATGTATGATACTGAATAGTGTATACCAATATATAGATAAATATATACATAAATTTCGAAATACGTTACTCGTTAAGTTTGGTCATACTTTTGAAAATGATATATTTTGTTAAAAATAGTTTACTGAGGCTTTAAAACCACATCTTATAATCTATTTAAACTAGATTAGAGCTAGTTTTGCAAGGCTAGCCTTCATCCTGTTTTACCATACACGATATCTATATAAAACTCGTTTATCTATGAAAACCAAGTATCAGACATAGTTATTTTACCATTCATAACATAATGTTAGTATACTGGCTTTATCCCCTGGTTCTACTCACGTAGTTTATATATATACATTAACTAAAAAATATAAAAAAAAATAAAAAAATCCTAACACAAATAAAAAAACTAAATAATATTTTTTTCATACCTGAATGGTAGTGCCAGATATTGGATAAACAAATAAAAAATAAACGATACATAATAACTTTATCGAAACGAGTCTTAAGTGAACCAAAGCAAATTAATAATCTTTAATCAACAACAAATTTGTTAAAAGCGTTGAACTCGCCATATTTTCGATTCATTATACGATGTGTAATAAACTACAATCTACGTACAGGCCTACTATTGGATTAACATATATTTTCAATTTGTCAATGTTGTTGTGTCGACCATAAACTATCGAAGCATGTCCCGCTGACGCACAGTATTGCCTTACAAACAAGCCGCCGGAAATATTTCAATTAAAAAAAAAACTAAAAGAGCTGTACTAACGTTTTTGATCTGAGGTATCTAATCAAACAAAGAAAGGTGCACATATTATATTCTCATCTCAATTCTTATTTGATTATACTAAGTACTATCATTAATGCGAAATGCGTGTGATTGTTACTCGTTCGCACTAAATGCTGGACGGATTTGGATAAAATTTAGTATACAATTTGAATATAACCTGGAGTAACATATAGGCTACTTGTAAGCACACAATTCTGGTTCTAGATGCTGGATGAACTGTACTTAGCAATATAAGATAACCAATGTTATACATTTTTGTAAGTTTTATATAGTATTTACTAGCGGACCCGACAGACGTTGTCCTGTCTACACGTCTTTAATTTGAAAATTTCAAACTTTTTTTAATAAGCTAAAACATTCTGGACCATTTTGATGAAAATTATTATTCAAATTGTGAATCTAAACCATTCCCAGATCCCCTTGAACACACACAAAAAATTTCATCAAAATCGGTCCAGTCGTTTGAGAGAAGTTCAGTGACATACACACTCACAGAAGAATTATATATATAAAGAAAGATATAATAGTGACACATTTGATCATGTGACGCTGATTTTAAAAACAATTAAGTAATTTTAATATTTGAAAAAAATATTACTAAGCAATGTAAAATCATAAATACATAGTTCATGACTTATATAGGTAATATACATAATATTCCTAGCGGGGATTATTTGACTTGTAGAACCACTACACTCTTTATGACGTTTTATCACGAAATTCTATACTGATTATGTATAATAAAATATATTTGAATAAATAGCTTGTACGTTAAATTATGAGGTTCTAGGTTCAATTCCTGGGCCAGGGAAAGAGTTAAAACAAATAATTAAATAATTAGCACTTTATTATATTAGAATTTTATTTTATTAAATTATTATGTATGAACCATAAATTATTATGAATCGTATGCAACCACCTTTACATTTAACGTCTAATCCATTCAATACGGCTGTCATAGCAGAAGCTAATATCTTAATCAAAGTTCAAAACGCGCCCGAGATAGCGGGATTTATACGGGGCACGTTCAGAAATATCTCTCTGAGTGAAGCATTATTATGTCATTAGAATAATAATTCTGCTTTATTACTATATTCGTGTTTGTGTTTACAGGTAGACAGACAGACAGACAAAAATTCTAAAAAGTATAGATTCGGCCTTTATATCGATAATACAATCTATTTCAATAAGATTTCCCAAAAAATATTTAATGTATAGATTTGGCTTAGTTACATTATAATATGTATAGATTAAATTTATGTGGATCATGGGTGGAAGACAGTTATATGCTCTTTCTACACTACACTATTTGTACATATAACATGTAAGAGTATAGTGGAACACATTGCTAAATGTACCATCTGCTACTACAACAGTTTCGAATAGTTCGAGAAACTATATCAGAGATGTATAACACTTAAGTGAACTGGAGCACAATATGTCAACACTGTATCAATATGGCCATGTTAGTTTTCTATCATAACTCCTAACCATATTTGGTGTAGAAAGTAACTGTATATGATTGGATCGTTAATCATAATTTAAGTTTATAGATCATAAATATATGTATGTAATGATGTATTATTTGACCTGCAACTTGCCTTTCGAAAATTATATCTTTCGTAACTGATGTTCTTTAAAATATTGTTTTTACTTAAATAGAGCGTATGCTTCTTTTAAGCGTGTGAATAGACTTTTATGGTGTTATTTTTAATGAATTATTTTATATAAGGGCAGTTTCATATAAATTTCAAGAAAAATTGTACCCCCCTTAAATGGTGTAAAAATTTGAACTAAAGAATCGTATTATTTAGAACCATATTTTTCAAGATCTGTGTAGTTGTTTGTTCATATCATTCGCGTGAATGCTATGTAGGTACTATTTTTTGGAGCTACTAGTCAAATAACTGTCCAATTTTAATCTTATTAATATGCAATGTGCTATTATTAGAAACGTAGCAGGTATATGAGTCTATTGCAGATGGTTTATTATGAAGCTGTAGAAAAAAATATTTGGAAAGTGTTGTTTTTAGGATATACCAAGTTCATGCCTTAGGCCTTCGGATTGAATTGGTTTGTTTGTTTTATGAAATTTTAGTCTGTATTACAAATACTTGGTTGATATAATATTTATTTTAATAAGAAGACGAACTAACGAAATTTAAATTATTGTTTCCAACTCCGTCCAACTGGTGGAATATGGCTAAAATAGAGTAGATATGTTAGAATGTAAGCTACGAGTAAATCCATTTTGAATAGTGCAAGTGCATACCAAGTTTTATCAAACTCCAATATTATTATTAGGTTTTTTATTTATTCCATTAAAATAAATCTCATATAATGATGAAAATCAATAGATTTACACCTAACATTATCTTTAGCCCTTGTGTTAAAATGGAACCCGTTTACCGCAAGCAATCAGTTTTAACCAGTATGACTACTACCACGTCAGTTGCTATTACTTCTAGCATCCATAAATTTTCTATACATGTGGGTATACTTATGATAACAATTAAACTAATTAACTTAATACTTACGTGTATATGGGTGTGTCATGCCCCTGTTTGTACCAGATGACGAGCCCCATGCTATCCCCACGCAAGGCTGGGGTGACATCACATGGTAATTCCACCGCATTGCCAACCGCCGCATGCAACGATTCTATAGATGCTAGAACAAAATAGTAAAAGATATAGTTACTTGTCTAAATAGCTATATTATATTAAAACTAGCGACTCACCCGCGCGTCCCTAGGTTGATTCCCCATACAAACTTTCATCCCCATTTTTACCCCCTTAAAGGATGATTTCCGGAATAAAAAATATCCTATGTCCTTCCCGGGGTCTCAAACCATCTTCTTACCAAATTTAATCATAATCGGTCCGTCCAGTAGTTTTTGAGTTTATTCATTACAAATATACGAGTACAAAAATACAAATCTTTCCTCTTTATAATATTAGTCTAATCTTCTGAGATTAACCCGAATAAACTACTGTACACATTTGCATGTGGCTTTCACCATTAGAAAGATTTTATTTTTATTTTTCTTGTGTCAGGCGGTTATATAATATACGAGTAGCTATACATATATATATATATATATATATATATATATATATATATATATATATATATATATATAATAAAATAGTAACAATACATAATCTGTATATAAAATATTTTTTTTAAAACAATGACTGCTGAATATAGACCCCAAACAATAGTTACTGATATTTTATTCTGTTTGTCTGTATATTGGTGTGCATTTCATGCAAAAAGTACTGAACCGGTTTTAATAAAATTTTGTATAGTGATAACTTGTTACTCTGCTGTTACCTGCTACTAAGATACCTTTTACTACAGGAAAATCTCCTGAAAGTTTCCTATATTAGAGCAAGCTATGAGTATTAGGTACAATAGCATAAACATTTTTTATAATATGTTGGGACATCAGCGCCATCTAGTTCCATTGTATGCTACGAGTCTTGTGTTATAGATACCCGATAATTGATACACTACGTACATATATATAACTTTAAATACATACATATTATAAATATAAACACCCATGACTGGCGTATAATTCGTTCTCATCGCAAAAATGAAAGTCCCAGATGGACTCGAACCCGCGACCGCTGGCACAGCAAGTATATTATGTTATAAGACTAATAAAACAATAACACAACGTTAAACCAAAGCTTAGTCAAAGCCAGTTTAGTCTATAAATCAACAGTACGAGTTCAACTAATATTAACAAACAGATATCGTGGTGAGCAGCTCAGTGAACAGGATCGTGTTCCGGAGGAGACACTGAGACGATGTGACAGATGCTTGGATATATAGATAGTTATTAACCCTTTAGCTGGCATTAGTATTCATACATAATATATACATATAATAAAAGTGTAACTGATCGCTGCCTGTACATGGATCTTCCATGTACAGTTCCATTTGAGAAAAACTATTATTGGGAATCTTTATTAACGCAATAGAACCCAAAACAAAGAGTTTTAGAATTATTGTCTGTTTGTATGTTTGTCTGTACGCGCTAATCTCAGAAACGGCTTAACCGATTTAGATGCAGTTTTCAGTAATGTATTGTAGTAAGCTTCACTTAACATTTCGTATTTGTTTATTCAATTGGTTCATAAATAAAAAGTTATCTCTAATAAATAGTCCAAATTTCAACAAAACTTTTAACTTTGATATTAATAGAAAGCATATTATGTGAGCAAAGCTTCGTTTTTGCATGTATATTGCAAAATAATAAGTAAATATTAGTATTTACATTAATTATATCTTGATATCACCTCCAGGTAAATTTCTAAGAAATTAATTAAATTTCTAAGAAATCTATTGTTAACTGTAACGCCGGCGTGTCCGCGGTCGTGGAGGGATTAAGCTCTCTAAAATATTATCTAAAGAGTAGGATCGTTTCGTTTCGAATTAAAGCGAGGTCCCATGTTCGATTCTCGTACTCGGTGAACATTCTAATATAACTTACAAATAAACTTATAATATACCCTATCGTTAGGTTCTACGCCCAACATGCATTAATTCAATAATACAGACAGACAAGATTTTACCATAATATTTTTCAATGGAAATGAAAACAAAATCTACAAAGTTAAAACCGGTTTCATGCGTATTATATTTAGTTTTACTTAACTACTTGTTTTTGCCATTGTTTCGAGCCAAATGACATGACGAAAAACACTTTCCTCACAACAGCATGAGGAAAATTTATTATTAATTCACATGGCTTGTGGTTTTATAATATTTTCGGCATATTACGTACGTTATAGTTGCTTGAATATGAATTTATTTGTACGTTCAAAACTTTGTTTGTTATTTGTTAGAAGTAAGTAGATTTACTGAGAGAAATGGAAGAATGAAATATTAATCTGAGATGAGTTTATATCACTTTGCTTCAATATTTATATTGTTTTCTAGTAATTCCTTCTCGTTTTACTCTAGCCTGACAATCTAAATCATACTTTTTAGGGTTCCACACCCGAAAGGTGCAACGGAACCCTATTAGTAAGCCTCCGCTGTCCGTGCGTCCGTCTGTGAGAGGGGTGTACCTCATAGGTAAAGCGTTGAAATTTTCTCAGAGTGTGTATTTTTATAGCCACTATAACAACAAATAATAAGAAATCAAGATAGCGAATTTTAAAAAGGCCACCATGCAAATAAAAAAATATGGTATATATGGTACGGAACCTTTCGTGTATACGTATATATATATATATATATATATATATATATATATATATAATATATATATTTTGATAAACTTTGATTTAAATAATCGTTTGTGGTTTACCCCAAATCTCCAAAAGTTTTTCAATTATTTATACTATCCATTTTTCTGTAACTTCGCTTATGCACTCGCTAGATGGCACTAAAATACATTAGGTTCTACACCGATCAACCGATGGCCACGAATTGATATTACCTACATTAACACACAGCGCCATCTTGTTCCATGGTAAGCTACGAAGCCTTGTTATGGATACCAGATAGTTGATACAATACACATATATAACTTTAAATTCATATATATTATAAATATAAACAACGACTGGAGTACAAACATTCGTGCTCATCACACAAATGAATGCTCCCAGCGGGACATGAACCCGCGACCGCTGGCACAGCAAGTAGGGACACTACAAACTGAGCCAAACGTGTCGTCAAAATATTAATAGTCTGTCGTCAGAATATTAGTATACGAAGAATATTTGTGCGATATCCATTTTATTATAATATGCTATTAGATTTAATCGAATAGGACAACAACACGTCAAAGGAGACAGAGTATAATATTATTATAGCCAGTGCCATCCTTTCTACCAATATACGTAAACCACATGGGCCAATCTTACTATCACATCTGCCAATTTTACTGTACCTAGCCATGCGTAATTAAACCTGACCATTAAAATTAAATAGGAAAATAATTAACTTCAAAAGCAAAAATAAAGAACCAATTGTTGCCCAAAAGCAAAATTTTTGAAATTCAATTTTGAAGGCAATGAAGTCAATATACAATTGCAATATGAACAAAAGAGGAAAACGATGTCATCGAAATAAACAATTGACCCAATCCTGTCATAACTATACATATATTGAGATGTTGCACTTTGTGCGTGCAGTCAATTGTTTTTGATTCAATGCACCGACGATTGGACACTATAAGTGTTATATACGTTTTCATGAATTGACGACCATATATACATATAACACTTATGTATATATAATATATTTACTAGCATTTGCCAGTGGTTCTCGTTTTGTATTATATTTTTATTATATACTACCTCGGTTAATTTCCCATACAAACATTCATTCCCATTTTCACCCCCTTAAGGGATGATTTCTTTATGGAAAAAATAATATTCTATGTCCTTCCCAGGGTCTTAAACTATATTCTTACCAAAGATCTAATCGGTATAGTAGTTTTTGAGTTTATGAGTTACAAACATACAGAAATACAAAAACACAAATCGTTCCTCTTTGTAATAGTAGTGTAGATACGCTTTGCTCTTTAAGCTCGTAATGCGATGTTAGATAAAAAAATCTAATTCCTTAGTAAATAAGCTGCAAAATGCAAAACGAATTCAATATGAACTGATGGTTTCAGAGATTAGTGCGTTCAAACAAACAAAATATAGTGAACTAGCATTGCTCGCGGCTCCGCCCGCGTTTAGATGACCAAAATCCAAATTCTTAGGTTTTACATATTAGTATACTCTTACAATGCAGTTTTTGTATTTTTTCTCAGAAATGAGATATTTTCCCGCAGTACAAAATTTCCTATATACCCGGATAGCCAGCTATCACCATACCAAATTTCATCAAAATCCCTCCAGTGGTTTTTCTGTGATGCGGTAACAGACAGACAGACAAAAATTCTAAAAACTATAGATTCAGCCTCTGTATCAATAATAATGTTTATTTCAATAAGATTTTCCAAAGAATGTTTATTGTACAGATTCGCCTTAGTTACAATTTTATTATATGTATAGATGAAGAAAATAGAGTGTACAGTGAAGAGTAAATAGTGTGAAGTTTTTAATATGTGTGGAGTTAAAGCCGAATGTTTGTTCATGCCAAGTTTACTGATAGTATTAAATTTGTGTTGTTTTTCTAAGCTACCTATAAATTCGTACAATTCGAAAAATTTCATTGATAAACGAATTCGTACGATGCTTCTGCTAGAGTCCTGGTGGAAGTATAAATAAAAGTGGACTGTATACAATAATTTTAATCTGGACGCTGATTAACAATCTCGTCGTATTGAATACGCGTTTACATAAAAAAGGAAAAGGACATAAAATATTTAAATTAAGGTGTCGGTCGTCTTGTCGGCTATGGTTCTATGATACAAGTGGGCGCTCCGTCAGGTACTTATGGCTCTCGATGGTGGGGCTGCGCCCGCGGCGCCAGCGGTGTCTATGGTTGTGTAACACCATGGGAACACCATCAACTTGGATAAACAATTTTATTCAACCGACTTCGAAAAGGAGAAGGTACTCCATTCGTCTATTTCGTATTTTTGTGGGTACGTTGACCGAATATCGATCGATTGTCATAATAAGGGTCTCAAATAAAAAAAAAATTAACCAATAGATAATTTTTTTAAGTGATTTAAAGTCAGCGAATCT